TTATGAATTAGGTCTGTATACGTTTCATTGTTTTTTCAAGTTCTTGTAGGTGAAAACTATGTACTAAAAATAAATGGCTGTAGGGAACTCTTTTGTCAGACTTTTTAGACAAAGGAGAGAATAAGATTTTGTCGATTAACTGTTGACATGCAATGGACGAGCATACTGAATCTAGTAAAGAAATCATTCCCATATGAAATTGTTGCATAACAATTTAATAACAAATTAAATGCAATGGAGACCTACAAAATTGAATGTTATCAAATAATAAGCATGATGGTAACAGATCCATAATTTTAGTAAAATTAATAGTATTCTAGTATCAGGCTATAGAATACTATTCTTCTCGGGCCGTTTCAATGCTGGATGAAATATTGTCTTGAACAAAAGTGTTAGGGAATTTCTTGTTGAAAAAGCCAAAAGGCTTGTGAGTCTCTGAGGTCACCCAGATGAAGGATCATCTTTCTCTCCTTGACTCACTGACCAGGTCACTGTTGTCGGCAGGCATGTTGTAGGTCAGGAGGTCAGAGTTGAACTCTGGAGTAACTGCATACATTAGCATGACGATGTCCATAATAACTCTACAATAGTGCCATATTCATTCATATAAAACTATGCATTGAAAATCCCAAAATACAAGTACAATTATCTACACTTAATTTAAATGAAGTCATTGGTAAGTAGGCCAATAGTTTACACTAAGTAGGCTAATTGAAGCAATTCCGTATTTCCAACTGTTTTGTAATTTTCAGCCCTGCACCACATTTACTGGTGATAAATAACACACACAAAAGCTAATCTACTCAATTAAATTAGGAGGCTATTCGATATTTAAACAAAACAAAAAGGGTTTATCCATTGTGTGGTTTTAAATGTGACATTAAACTACAAGCCCTATATATTAACACCATGGATAACCTGTTACACCATTAATAACGTTTTTATGAGCCATGAGAACGAATCTCTACCGAATGCATTTCAGCGGTGTCGTGCCCAGGCAATTTATTGGTTAATTTACAAGAGAACAGGACAGTTTAGAGAGCGTTTTACTGTCCAACCATGAGTGTTCAAACTGTAAAACGTATTCAGAAGTGGATTCTTATTTTCTGAAGTGTGTTTATGATTAGGCTATAGCTCACTCATTTAGAAAAGTGTATTCTACATTAATTTGCACTTACAGTTCCGTTGAAAATGCGTTCAAATATTTGATTCAAATGGTAGGATTAACTTTGATCAATGCATTAAACCTGCCAGTCAATAAATCTATCAGTCAATTACCGCATTAATCCTTCAGTGCTCGCGGGATAATTAAAACCATTAAGGGATATAGAAAGACAACGGGTGAAAGTGAAACGAGAGAGAGAGAGAGAGAAGGGGGGGGGGGGGGGGGGGGGGGGGGGGGGGGGGGGGGGGGAGGGGGAGGGGGGGGGAGAGATTTTTTTTGTTTTTTATTTTAAACAAAAAAAAAAAATTTTTTTTTTTTTTTTTCCCTTTTGTTTTTTCTTTCCCTTTTTCCCTTTTTTTTCCCTTTTTTTTATGGTAAAAATTTTAAAATGTTTTTCCTTTAGGCTTTTTTTTTTTTGGGCAACATTTTTTTTTTTTAATTTTTTTTTTTTTTTTTTTTTTTTTTTCTTTATTTTTTTTTTTTTTTTTTTCGGTTTCTTTTTTTTTGTTTGGGTGGTTTTTATTTTATGCCTTTTTTTTTTGTTTCCCTTCTCTCGCTTTCCTTTTGGCCTCCCCCCCCCCTTTTTTGGGAAAAGAATAAAATATTCATATTCAAAGGCATAAATACGGAAATATAAAAAAGGGTACAAATTCAAATAATTTTAAGTTTTTAAAAGTTTTAAAACAAATGTAATTTTACTTTAGATGGTATTGAATAAAGTTTTTGGAAAGTTTTCACCCTTTATGCAGCCAAAAACCACAAAAACGAATATTTTTAATGAATTGGATGTTATTTTAAAACAAGATAAACCCTGACGGAAATGTAGACGTTTTAGTCAAGAACATTTAACCCTTGTGCTTTGCTGGAAAAAAATGACATCCATTATGTTACGGGTCAAATTGACCCGCACAGTTTAAACACACTCAAGACAGTCAAAGAATTAAGTAAAAACAGAAACTACTTTATTTTGTCTTATCAGACATTTCAGAAAGAAGAAATACAATACTTTTTATTTTTTTTAAACAATATTTAAGAACTATTTGTTAAAACATATTTCCTTTCTCACAAACAAGATTTTTCAGTTTCCCCAAGTAGGTTTTTTCCCCCCCTATTGGTCCATATTATCCCTTCAGTCTTTCTCTCTACATGTTGAAACACAATGTGTGTGTGTGCTTTCTGCAGATGTATTTATTGCATTCTACACAAGTGGTGCTTGTTTTACTGTCTTGTCGAGGGGGGGCAGAGCTGGCATCTTTTCCGTTTCTTGCCACTGCCTGTATCCACTGGATCCATTTCTGGTTGATTGGAGGCATGTGTTGATGGTCCAGCTTGAATTTTCTGGACGGCAGATGCAGCTGCTGTCGACCGAGGAGGCCGGACTCTCCTCTGGATCTTGGGAGTGATGAGAGCTTTGCCGAGCTCCTCTAGGAAAAGCCGGGCGTCGGTACAATTTGCCACCATTCCATTGCTGGTTGATTTCAGTCCACAGGACATAGGCATTGTAAGCAGACACATCCACAATGTTGTAGAAAATCACCAAAGGCCAGCGGGCAGTCATGCGCTGACAACTATATGTTGCTGTGACTTATCCAAATTGTCAACTCCTCCTTTGGTGGAATTGTAGTCCAGTATTATTTGTGGCTTGATGTCCTCTCTTGCACTCAGCGATGCATCTTTGTGCATTGTGCTCATTACAAGAACATTCTTGTTCTTCTTTGGGCAGTAATGAAACAACAGTTGCATTTTCAGAGAAAGCAAATTTAGAGGAATGCACAGTTTCTGCCCTGCATTTTCAGAAGCTCACTGGGAAGTTCAGGTTTGTTTTTTCTGATTGTTCCAACCATGGTCAGCTTTCCTCTTCTGTAGTTCAACACCAAGGCGGTAGGATGTGAAGAAGTTGTCACAACGTGATGTTATGACCTTGCAGCCCTTCACTCATGTCCAGCACCACCCGCATCCCCTGGTTTTTCTCAGGCACTCCGCCGGGTGGCTTCCCAGTGTAAACTTGCATATTCCATGCATAGCTTGATGTGGCATCACATGCTGCCCATATTTTGATGCCATATTTTGCAGGCTTGTTTTGGCATATACTGTCTGAAGGGACAACGTCCTCTGAATGGAACAAGGCGTTCATCAACTGTAACATGAGGACTGGGATTGTACAGTAACGGTAGAATTTCCACCCATTTATCCCCATACATCTCTGATTGCAGCTAGTTTGTCTCTTTCACGTCGACCCGGTCTGGTATCACCGGTTTATCAAAGCGAATCACCCCTAGAAATTATGTGGAATTCTTGTAGAGACATTGTTGCCCGAAATATTGGCCTTCCATTCTCTTCATTCCACAGGCTGGCCGTTGCTTCTCCGTTTGACCGGTAGACTCCAGCTAATATGAGCAATCCCAATGTATGCATGCAAGTCAATCCGATCCAGTGGCTTCCAGTTCTCTTGAAACACACGGCTCCCCTCCAAGTTGGTCATGTCCAGAACAATCTTCTCTATTGCTTGGGGTAAAAAGAGCTCAAAAGCTGATTGTATGTCATGGACTCGAGTGACAGCAAATCGTGTAGGTCCTGGAACCATTTTTTATTACATTGGAAGCTGAGAGTCTACCTTGACCTCGTTGTGGTGACGGTGACCATTCAATATGACCATCTTTAGACTTCCATGTCTTCTCTTCTCTTGATGATGCTTGTTGCATGCTCTGTCTCTCATCTGATGTAGGGGATGGTACGGCAGACTCCTCCTCTGAATCCTCTTCAATGAAGACAAAATCTGGATCATCAACAGCATTGTCCTCTATCTCTGAAATATCCTCTGTCTCTGAAACCTCTTCTTCTTTTTCACTGTCACAGTCCAGAATTTGTGATAAGACTTCATTGATTGAAAATCTTTTGGAGCTCATTTTTGAGTGTCTGTGTCAGGGACCCTGCTGCTCTCAACACTGAGGAGAATCTTGGGAAAGCCCTTTTTAAACCCAAACACAATTCTAAAAGTGCAACCAGGACCAGTCAAAACAAAATACATCAAAGACACTTTTTTGTTTTGCACCTGTGCAAATATATATACACCATGAAAGCCTCCGGGTCAAAATGACCCACAACATCATGTTTGTATACAAAATGTACACAGACATTCCACAACACATCAGTGTGTCCACATTTGTGCAGTTAGGTTCATGACCCTAAATGAGGAAAAGTCATGTATTCCATGGCGAAAAAGAGTGGTTAACTAGTATTTTAGACAACGCAAAAGTGGAAACGGGTCAAATTGACCCACAACATAACAGGAGGGTTAAGTAAGCTGTTCCGAAGAAAGAGCTGGCCACAACGTTCTTGTAATGATGCTTTAATGACATGCAAGAGACAATAAATAACTAAATCAATAAGTTTAGTAGGCCTACTAAATACACAAATAAATATAATAATATTGGTTGTCTGAATAAAGTTATGTTATTTGGTATTAACTCATAAAGTGCATTAATCATTATTATTTCACCTGACAAGTGAGCGGAACTCAAATGTCCTCTTGAATAGGCTACTCCAATTAAAAGTATCAGGTAGCCCTACGTGCGCCTCTACAATTAGGAATCACTGAGTCAAACATTTACAATAACTCATTCTGGAGTTCACAAAACTTACCCTGCTTTCCGTGCTTTTTAGTGAAAAACAACATGACCCTGATTAGCCAATTAGGCAGAAGTTCCTCCTAATGGGGAATCAAAGAACCTGCATGTTTGTGATACTGTCTGTCACTATTACACAGCTTGTTTTGCAATGTGTGAGAAAGTTCCTTTAGTTCAGTGTTAGGGGGCGGCAGGTGTTTGGGAGAGCATTAGGTCGGTTCAAGTTGTCCAGGAGAGGAATAAGTGTCCAGGCTGTTGGAGCGTGAGCTTTCTGAGCAGCTTGAGTATGCGGGACAGGCCACGGGAAGAAGGCCTTCGCGCATTAATTTCTTCTGTTTCATGCGCCGGTTCTGGAACCAAATCTTCACCTGCGTCTCGCTCAGCTGCAGGGCGCTCGCGATCTCCACGCGTCTGGCGCGCGTCAGGTACTTGTTGAAGTGGAACTCCTTCTCGAGCTCTGTGAGCTGTTTGGTGGTGAAGTTGGTCCTTAGTACCCCGTTAGGGGCAATATGATGCCCATCGGTGGGAATGCTGTATTTACCGCCTCCTCCTCTGTCCATACTGACGCCCGGAGCAACTATACTTAATCCACAGGCCATGTGCATCTTGGCTGAAAAGACAGTTAAAACACAGGTATAGTATAAATATATCGGCTGAATTCAATGAAGTAACCCATCCATAAAATATAGACAGTACAACATATATGACTAGCGGTTTATACAGGGCATTGGATTGTTTAAAGATAGGGAGCATTATATTATTTTTGAAACTGACCTAAGAGACCAGCCTGCAACATAAAGTCATCTTATAGCATATTGAAAGAGACTAATGAACGTTTCAGGGGGATGAAAGTAATATCCTATCAATCACAATTACTTATAAAACATATATTCAATATGTTAATTAGGTGAAATGGTTAGTGGTGTAGATGATAGTGCGGGGGGAAAACTTCGTTCTAGCGCCACAGGTCTTTTGTGCCCAACATTCAGCTGCAAAGTTGCTGCTACTGGTGTATCTGTACCATGAGGACAGGTGTTGGATGTAATAACTTATATCACAGTACAGGTATAAGCTATCTAACAGGGACTCTATCAGAGAGAATAGAAAGCTCATATGATAAATGTTGACATCCATGTTTTAGAAAAAATAAGAATGTCAGGGACAGGCTACATATAGGCTACCTAACCTGAAATGAGAGTGCAGTAGTCAATAGTGAATATGAAAAAAACCTAGACAGACACAACAGTACAGTAAGTAAATAAACGCTTTGGCTCTCATGAATAGATAATCACATTCTGATTAATGACGTCTAAGATAATAGAAGTGGCGCTGGCCATGAGGCGTGAATAAAATTTGGGGGGAAACGGCCCCTTTTGAAATAAACCGCCCAGAAAGACCAATCAACCCTTAGCCAAGGGAAAGAGAGAAGGGGGGCCAGGGGAAAAGGGGAAAAAGAGAAGATGAGGGGAGAAAAGAAGGAAGAGGGAAGAAAGAGAGGAGAGGGGAAGGGGAGAAGAGAGAAGAGAAGAAAAGAGAGAGAAAAGAGAAGAGGAAAGAGAGAGAGGAGAGAGAGAGGAGAAGAGAGAGAGAGAGAGAGAGAGAGAGAGAGATAGAGAGATGAAGTCTTTCAGCCCCTGTTTTGGGAAAATTGAGAAAATTGCCCCCCGTTTCCCCCACCTTTTCCCTCTTCCCTTTGCTCCTTCTCTCAACCCCCTCCCGCTCTCCCTCTTTTGCTCTCTTACTCCTTTTCCCCCCTTTTTTAATCGGAATAGGGAAAGGAGAACCAAGGGGAAAAAAATAGAGGTGGGGCAGCCCCTCTCTCTCTCTTTCTTCCCGCCAACCTGTTCTCTTCCTATCTCTTCTCTCACTCTTTTCTTGGCTTTTTTAAAGGGGACAGAGGTAAGAGCGAGAGAGAGAAAGAAGAGCGAAAGAAAGAGGAGGGAGAAGAGAGGTTAAAACTTTTTAAAGAAAAGACGAAACGAAGAAGTAAGCAGCAAAACGAAACAAAGCAAAAACCAGAGAGAGGGCAAAAAAAAAGAATGAAATTTCCCCTTCCCCCCCGCCCCCCCAAACCCCTTAAAATTTTTTAAAAAAATTTCCCTGGAGGGGGAAAGAAGAAAAAAGGTCGTCACTTTCCCCTTCCCACCCTGGGTAATTAAAAGTTCCCTCGTCAAATTGAAGAGGAAAGGTATAAAGGACAAGGATGGTCAGCAAGATTACCCAGAAAGTGGGCCCGGCTATCATAACTTTCCCAGCACAAAGTTCCCCCATTAAATCATTTCCCTTTAACGTTACTAAAATCTAAACAACTGGATATCTTAAAACGCTCTAGAACTTGACTGTTTGGAAGCAATAAACGTCAAAATTTAAACTATGGAACAATAATCACTGGTAAAGAAAAGCGGTGACAATGAATTGTTCAGTGGTATTCTTATCCTTGGGCAGCCAAAAAATTTTTCATTTTCATCTTAAATTGCCCTTAACAGGCCCCGGGGCCACATCTTTTATCTTGGCAAACAAAAAAAAAAAAAACCCCCCCCCCAAAAAAAAAAAAAAGGGAAAAAAAAAAAAAAAAAAGAGGAAAAAAAAAAAAAAAACCAAAAAAAACTAAAAAAGAAAAACAAAATAACCCAACAAACAAACAAACAAACCAAAAAAAAAAACCCCCCCCCCCCCCCCTTTTTTTTTTTTCCCCCCCCCCCCCAAAAAAAAAAAAAAAAAAAAAAAAAAAATTTTTTTTGCCACTGGGAATTAAAACTTTTCCTTCGAAAAAGAGAAAGGGAGGTTTATGAAGGAAAAAGGGAGTTGTTAGCCAAAAAAAACCCCCCCCCAAAAAATTGCTTCTGCCAAACATTTACAAACTGCCTGTTACTAACCTTTTGGAAAAACTTTTAAGTTACTTAAAACAAGGGAAACTTTTTTTATGTCTTGAAAAGGGGTTTGAGGACTTGATCTAGTCCTGGCAAGCAACATAAACAATCAAAAAAAAGGGGAACATAGAGGTGACTATTAATTTGTCAGCCTGGTAAACTGTAACGTCGACAGCATGAATTGTTCTATTGTATTCTTATGTCTCTGAGACAGACAACAAAGAAGGCATCCATGTCATCTTCAAACTCTAGAGCCCTTATCAGGTTCTCCCTGTCCACATCATTTGTATTCATTGTGATCAAAAAGGCTAAAGTTCCCAGTCAGCCCCCTATTCTGAACCTTTTTGAACCGGCCCCCGATTGATCATAATAGAACCAGACAGAAGGATGTCTCTATTGGGTTCATATCACCCCAATAAAGCATATCTTTATTCAGATGTGTTGGAGATGCAATTGTTCAGAAGGCTGTGAGCTCACAGTTTCCCCTTTTCACCTCACTCTGGATACTCAGATTTAGATCTTGTGTTGTGAGGTCTTGTGAGAAGACATCTCTTGGTCAGGATGAGAAATTACTTTTAATGGGCAAAGTCAAGATACTCATGGTATTTCTTTTAGATATACCACATATTCTATGTGAGTTGTATTATTTAATTTATGTGAAATCAGAACGTTTATGCTGAATGTCACAGTAAAGACCCATGAGATGTTGGTGGACTGATGATATGTGACAATGATTATGTTAAAACGGACACATGTAAAGGTGCTGGGCACTGAGATCAATACACAAGGCTCTCATTACTATACAGACAGATAATCAATAAGCAGAGAGCTCTAATGTTACTACCATTACAGGGAGTGAATTTGGCTGAAAACTTAACATTAGCTGCATTGCACACTGCACACTCAGGCACTCAGGCAATATTGCATTGTCAGAGCACAGTGATGTGAAAGCGAAGCACATGGATAGCTATTATATTTCATTATATTCTATTACTCCCTTCTATTCTGTTCTAGTGTGGGAAATATCTCCATCCTTTTCTGTGCCCGATAGGTAGAGAAAGGTAAGGTGACCTGTCCTGTATAATAATAATAATAATAATAATAATAATATGCCATTTAGCAGACGCTTTTATCCAAAGCGACTTACAGTCATGCGTGCATACATTTTTTTGTGTATGGGTGGTCCCGGGGATCGAACCCACTACCTTGGCGTTACAAGCGCCGTGCTCTACCAGCTGAGCTACAGAGGACCACAGCCCAGCCTCCCCAGCCCGCATCCCAGTCCCTCCCGATTATCCCAATCCGAGTAGAATTGATGAATACATAATTTCAGTTTCAATATGGTTATTGTGGTAGGTTGATTCAGGAATTGTAAGTGTTACAGTTATCATATTAATATTTTTGCTGGAAGTTTTGTTAAAGGTTAATTCACAATTATACATGTATTTGTACATTTTGATCCATCGCTTGGTGCAATATAGGCTACATGGATCAAAATGTATCATTGTCTTCTTTTTAAAAATGTTGTTCATGATATTGAGCGACTTTGCGAAACTTCATCTACGCACAAACACATCTCACTTTGTTGCCCGTAGCACAGTAGCCTACAGTAGCCTAGTCTATACGTTCTCACAGCACAGCACTGTCCTACATACTGAATTAAGAATATGGCACATTAGACTGTATACTTTCAATAGTAGGCTTTGTTGATTAATCAATGACAGTTTTCTATAAGTTATAAGTGCTATTGGTTTAAGTATCAACAATAAATACAACGTTTTAAAAAGTAGTTTGTCAATAAGATACTTATTGTCTTTCCAAATGGAAACGGGAACTCCAAAACTTACCCGTCCGAGGTTGACTTCTCTTCTTCACGTTCATCCAATCAAAAGTTTTGCTCTTGTGACTTAGTTCAGATACCTTACACTTGGGGTCCGAGTGAGAGCTACTGTCCACAAGAGCAAAGTGAATATTAGGCCCATCATGAGTGTAGATTTTAATGTGCGCGTTTATAGACCCGAATTCTGCGTGCGCCAGCGCCTCAGTCCTGGTGTTGTGTGTGGAAGAGGAGTATCCAAGTCCCGGGAAGTCGTGCTCCTGCGCCCGGAGGTAGGAGGGGAGACGAGAGTAGTGGAGGCAGGCCGGTGGCGTGGTTGAAAAGCCCTGACTCTGTGTCAGGGGAGAGCTGCTCGAGCCTGAGTAGACCGGGAGCTGAGTTACCGTGCAGTCGGTTGCAGAATTGGCACCGGAGAAAGACGGGGAACTGTGTTGTAATGAATATCCCGTGCCAACCTCTGATAAAGAGTTACCCTCATTGTCAGCTCCAAGTTCTGGAGAAATTCTCTGATCCAAGTCACCTATCCTGACCTCCCCTGGTCGGTAGCCCCCTACGAACATAGCGCTACTCTCCCAATCGCACATTAACTCTTGATACAAATTCATTATCACCTATGCATAATCATTGGATCGGTCAAACGGTTATAGGACTCATGGACAGGTGGCCTCTAGCTAACATCCAATAACGCATGGATGGACCGAGATAGCGACCATAGACAGTCAGAGGGACATGCCCTGGAGATCTCTGATTGATGGAGATGACGTGCCCTCTTGGTCTTGGCCAATAGATGGACATCTCTGTCATCCACCCGGGACAACACACTGATTAACAAAGCCAAGCAAGTTGTAAACTAATTTGAGGTGGTCAAATTAATGGACTCCAGTACAGAAGACAATAGCTGTGTAGTCCCCATAATTTATGGTAACTTTCTTTTCTCAAACAGGGCCGCTTAAATGAGTAGGATTTACACGTAAGGTGGACATAGAAGTGGCACTTGGTCATCATATAGGACTGGGATATGGAGGAGCAAGTAAGTAAAAGTTTGCTGAGACGATTGACAGACACTTCTGAAGTCTGGCATTCATCAAAGTATCACTGCTCGTTTTTCAAATAGGCACAGGTAAGATGACGTCAGCTGTGGTATGTTTTTCTGTACGCACACAGTGCTGCAGGCCTGCGGGGATCTACCAACTTTGTGACTATCACGCCAGCTTTGTTGTTATTAATTATAAACGATTAGGCTTAGCTGTTTTTTTTATAACTGGTTTTAAGGTACAAGTTATGCAATAGCAATACTTGTTAGCAGGTCCTGGATTAAATGTTTGCCAGTAGGAATATAGGCCTAAACCGTACATTATACAAATACCCTCAAATTATAATAGACTAAGTGAATTCAGACTAGTCATTGACATTAGTCTCGTACACAATTATCCTGTGATGATGGTTTCTTCAACAGCAGAGGCCGTGTTCAGTGCAGGGCTAAAGGTCATGTAAAAAACACACTTAATGGGTTCAAAGGTCGTGACCATGGCTGTTGAGCTCTTCACTGACATGTTACAATTTAGTCATTTAGCAGACGCTTGTATCTTGAGCGAGTTGCAGGAGCAATGAGGGTTAAGTGCCTAGATCGAGGGCACATCGACATATGCATCTAGTGGGCTCAGGGATTCGAACCAGCGACCGTTCAGTTACTGACCCAATGCTCTTAACCGCTAGGCTACCCACTGGCGTCATGTTTGTAAATAGTCTCCGAACAACTATATGCTGAGCTAAACCTGTTTAATTGCCTTTTACATTAAATTCGTATCTGTTCAGATTACATAGAAAAAACTATACCACCACATTCACATAACATGAGAAAACATATTAGTATTAGCTCGTAAACTAAATGATTTAGAAAGGCTATACAATTGTATTTAGCATTCATTGAAGGATGTTTAGAAATAAAGATAATTACAACGTTATTAATGATAAAGCAATCATGTCTGTTGCGCTCCAGATATTGACTGGGTGAGACGGAAGGGCGTAGTGATGCCACATAACTTTTGGTTTTTTCACCTTCAAATTAATTTGTGGATAGTCTTGACCTCTATAAGTTTGGATGTTTAATATAACATATACCGGTACACCAACATTACAATACACTTATTTTAGTTTCAAAAGAGTAAAAGTAATTATTTTTCTATTTGTATTATTGTACGCCTACTAATTATCGTATTATTATGATTATTATCAGGCATATATCATTGTTGCTATTATGTTGTTGTTATTGCTGTTGTTGTTTTCTTGTTATTAATTGTATTTGTCATCTACATTTTTGTATTAATTATTATTATCACCGATAACATTATTTTCTATCAAAGACCATATCACTAACCTGATCACATGTGTTATCCACAACTCCATAATAGTAATTACAAAGCAATTCGATATAATCAACAATTTAGGCCTATAACAGCATACACCATTCTATAGACTACAGCCCAGAAACCCGGTCGCAGCTGGGGGAGGTAATGGTATTCTACAGGCAGCGATGAGCTGAATGACTGAGTGCGATATATTCCTTCCCTCCGTGCATTTGCATGCTACACTTATCCATCTTGTTGTCAGCTCGCGAGGTTACCCAGGGTTCACGCGCTAGCTTGTTTCTCTCCCCTACGCTCAATAAATAAAACTCTGCAGCGTTCTGTTTACCGCCTGAATATAAATGTGTTTTCAGTTGATCGCAGACCTGTGTGGAGATATTAGAAATTGTATTTCTCTAATGGCTTTCATCAGAGGAAGGGAGGGAGGAGAAAAAGGGGTTTGCAGGGAGAGAAAAAAAATAAAGAAAGTACTGGTATGAGCATCTCTCCTCTCCCTTTATGGAAATACACGTACTTTTTGAATGAAAAATAATAACGATCCCAGTAGCCACTGGACGAATTAAAAATAGATTAAAACGATTTTATTTTACAAGAAAATGAAACATATTTTCAGTCGCATAAATACAAGTGGTTGTACACTTCCTGGCAACAGCAGCGATATTATCGTGTTGACCTCAGGAAGAAAAACAAGTCATCTGGAGTTGGCTCCGTCTCCCTCTCAACAGCTTGTATCCCCAAAACAGACACATTTACCTGGACAGGTGATGATAAACAATCTGGGCTCATGTTCATAATGGAGAAGGGAAAGATTCCTGCGTAAAATATCAAATAAAACTGGAATGAAACCAACCAGTAGCCACATACCTCCATCCTATTCTTGAAGACATTATTTTCTGTATTGTTGTCATTGGAGGTGAGGTGAACAACACTACTGGTGAGGTTGCCTATCTCAAGACAACAGCAGAGGGATTATTGATTGACTGATACTGCTAATTAGTTTTCTCCTCCATCCTCTGATGTCAGTGATGTCTGTGATCTGTCGTCAATAGAGGTGCTGAACTGCTGAGGCTCAGGGATCATGGTGGTGGCGATGCCCGGATGGGATCATCTCCTATAGGTTTGTATTGACCCCTCACCCTGCTGACACACACACACACACACACACACACACACACACACACACACACACACACACACACACACACACACACACACACACACACACACACACACACACACACACACACACACACACACACACACACACACACACACACACTGACAGTGGTCACACACACAGACACACACACACACACACACACACACACACACACATACACACACAAATACACACACACACACACACACACACACACACACACACAAACTGACAGTGGTCACACACACACAGACACACACACACGCACACACCTTGCTGACATTGGTCAGTAATGATGCTGCAGGCTGAAGCGTGGTGATGGTGCTGATATTGACACGATGAGGATGAGGCCCTGGTCTAACCCAGGAACACTGTCATAGACTCATTATATGTCATCTCTCGACCCTGGGAGCTCTGGGAATTAACCGTGCGATGACAGATGACTGTCACCACCAACCAGAGAGGTCACAGCCGGCCGTTAATTCAGTGCGGGGCTGAGCGGTTAAAGCTGGGCGATCTGTACAGTGGTGGGGATCTCAGTGGGGCCCACAGGAGCAGTAAAAGCAGGTAGGTGATATATGTGTTGAGGCCTTCAGCGATCTGTTCAGTGGGGATCACTTAGCAGTCATAACCTCAGTAGTGGTGTTTTCCAGGTCCAGGGAAACAGACACGTCATAGAGAGGGAGCGATTGGGGGAAAGATGGACGACATTAGAGTGATATATAGCCTACAGTGCTTGGTTGGCATATGCAGACTTCCCAAGAATATGTCCTGTATACATCCTGGTGCTCCACAAGAACATGTATGTATGATGCTTCACAGATCCTAGGAGCCCAGAGAGGTTATCAGCAAGCAGTATCACAAACATCATGACAACAAAGCATCCATCATCTTCCTTCCCCACAAGCTGCTGTGCACACGTAAGAGCTCTTACTGACGGAAATGAACAGGGTTCAACGTGTGTGTGTGTCTCTGTGTGTGTCTGTGTTCATCATAGCAGCACATTGCCATATGCCTATCTCTGTCCACAGTCTCACAATTCAATGTGGGAAATAGAATGAGAACAGGAAGACAAAAACGTTTTTAGCACTTAAAACCTTTATTGTGGAAATTAATAGTTTTCAAAATTCTTGTGACACAAAGGGCTGGGTGTTTACTTTCAGGTTTTACCGTAGAATGTATTGATTTTGAAGCTGTATAATAAAGCCATTTGGTCTTTCCATCATATCTCCCGTCCTTCCTGAAAGATCAATGACGATCAACATGTTGACATTTATCCATGATGATTGGTGTGATTACAACTTAATTTAACTGTCCGATTTGTTCTAGTGGCAGTCAGAATATGCTTTTAACCAAAGCAATTTTTACAGTATATGATCTCTCTGGGACTTGAACCCTCAACCTTGGCATTGCTATTCTGCCATGCACTTACCAACTGAGCCACACAGGACCACACCGCAAGTACAGTAGGTCACTCTCTCTCGCTCAGTTTGCTCTGAGCACTCCCTTCCACTACTGTCTGACACACTTTCATCAGTGGCTTTACCTTTTTTATTGTCACAGATCATCCTTAACTGGGATGCATTTAAAACGTAATTGATCTTGCTTTAATATGACAGTAACAGTTGTCTGGTCAACCAGGAAGTCAAATCCTGAGATAGATGAGCAGGTGAGTTATTATCATCCATCTACCTGAGTGATGCTCTCCTTCGCTCCGTTACACACCACAGAGCGGACAAATAAATACAACCTATAAAGATGACACAGGAAATTGATACTTAACAATTCTCTCTTGAGCAACAAGCACCTGAAAAGAGTCATGAACAGTGGGAATTACTTCTGGGGATGGAGAGAGAGGGGGCAGAAAGAGAGTGAAAGAGAGAGAGAGAGACACCCGTGCAGTTCAGTGTCTCGTTAATCATTGGAGGAGTCAAGTATAATACAGTTATAATAGTTACTTGCTTGGCCAAAAATAAACCTAATGAAAATATAACAACACAATGATAAAAAAGGGTCAGTAAGAGGGATATCACATTGAAAGTGTTGTGGACAGTTTGGGAGAGAGTCTGACTGTCTCTTG